GATATTATATATATATATAATATATATATATATATTATATATATATAAAATTAGCTGGGCATGGTGGGCATGCCTGTAGTCCCAGCTACTTGGGAGGCTGAGGAGGGAGGATCGCTTGAGCCCAGGCAGTTCTCTTTGAGGTTGCTGTGAGCTAGGCTGATGCCATGGCACTGTAGCTCAGGCAACAGAGTGAGACTCTGTCTCTAAGTAAATAAATAAATAAAAGTCATTTCCCTGTCCATGAGGTCAGAGAGATAGAGAGTCAGAGAGTTCTGACAACTGGGTATAAGATACACTGGAAGCAGTTTTTATCCCTGTCCTTTCCAATTACATTAACCAATAAATCCCTGTCTTCATCTAGTTTGAGTGGCTTTCTGTTATTTGCCATCAAAAGCTCTGTCCTGTAGACATACTTTTCACCGTATTTGTGAGAAATAAATTCGAGAGAAGAGCACCAGCATTCTTGAGAAGCTTGGTGATTGCACTTCTCTGTAAGCCAGAACTTAAAGTGGGAACACTACCCCTGAATTGGGAAACCTATTAATCCTGAAGGTGAAGAGTACCCACTGAAGTGGAAGCAGAGAAACTGGGTCAGATTTATATTTTTGAAAGATTGCTCTGCTGTGAAGGTGTGTAGGATGAATTGGGGTGGTGGTAGAAGCAAAGGGGTTTTACTCAAGGGGTCTTTCTGAGGCCCTGACTGGTGCCTTTTCTTCTTGTCCCCATTATCTTCTCACAGGCTTCAGGGGCTTCACCTATTTCTTTTTCCTTTGATAGTTGCCACCATCTTCTCTGTCCATTGGGTTACATTTTCCCACAAAAACTCCCTAAAAAGTAGGACATATGTATCTCATCTCCCCATATTATTGTGCACAGGCTTTTTGATTTTAATAATTTTATTATTATTTATTATGGGAATTCAGGTGAGAGGTAACAAAAATCACAAACATGCAGATGTTTAAAAATCTTATAAAGCTATTTCTTTGCTTCATTAGAAAGGGCAACAGGAAGCCCTGATGTTCTTCAGCCATGGGACCTGATGGGACTAAACAGGGACATGGACTTACATAAAGAGACAATGAATGACAGCCCCTTACCATTAGTGCTTTCTTTTTTTTTTTTTTTTT